TTAAACTCCAGTGACCACATCATTAGTCTGCTGCTCTAATTATGTCAATTGGATTTATGACAACATCGTGTTCCATGACACAGGTGTTTATATTTGAGCTAAAGACGTGTCCAGAGATCAGAGGTTTCCATGGTGATCAGTGAGAGGAGAGCATTTGCATTGTTCAGAATGAGAGATACACCTCTTACATGTGAACGTTTTGTTGAAGAACCGTAACAGATATCGGTGAAATTTCAAAGCGTGAAGCATGTCAAGGAACTTGAGCATCTGAAGTGTACTTTTTGTGTACTTTCGGGTTAATAACGTATTCTTTTTGGCAGATTAATTAAAGGTGTGCGGCTGCTATCGTGGGGAAAGATGAGGCTGAACTTACATTGGGGTTTAATGGAGACATGTTGAAAGTTTTTGTCACTTCATGCCCTCAAGAGGCATTTTGTTTAATTATTTTGCAAGCTACGAGATGTTTTCCTACGTTTCTTATGAAAAATGATGTCTCAGGAATGTAGGGTTTGGGAATTATGGCAGGTTCAAAAGAAAATATGAAGGCGAATTTCAATCGGTCCTCCACTCTACAGCTGTAGCTGTGACATCACACACTCTAAATCTGAAGAAGGCCTCTTTACCAAGGTCTGAACAATGTTTAATATCTCTAAAAGTACGAATCAGATTTAAAAGTTATTTAACATGAATAATGTCAGAAAGATGTGTAACATTTTAAAGTTGGAATGAGGTTTCTGAGTGGAAGTATGAAGGAGCAGTTAGCAGTTGAAGTTGCATGAAGATTGTTCAAGTCTGAAGAGTTTCTCCATTGACTTCCATGTTAAAAATGTGATGAATTATGGGATGTATCTCTGGAATTATGAAAGTTATGAATGAGAAAAGTAATAGCCATCGATTCCCGACCGAGCTGAACGTTTTGATGTTCGAACGGAGTTTCTGCGATGTGGAATGTGGGAGAAGAGGAGGTGCAAAATAACCCGGCGGAATAATATAGAATTTCGTGCGTAGCATAACAGATGGTATGTATCAGCATTCCCACTAAATAATTCATTTACTTTTCAACAACAACAACTATAGCTTAAATCTTCCTATAATGCAATGTTTTCTGTGTTTCACAAATCTAAACCAGAAATCTGTTGATCTAGTTGTGTACTTTATTTATCTGACAGAGACTCTTGATGTCAGTTCTGAATTTACGTCTTGATTATGTTACAAAGGACAACATCATCTGCATAAAGCTGAAAGCGCTGCACTAATTTCACAAACTGGACCCTCTTTAAACATGCATCTCAACACTCTGTTTCTCTTTTTTGTGGTATTGATTAAAGAAATGCCAATTACATAAACAAAAGTAATAAGACATATCGTGACACATTTTATCATAAATGAATAAGGGGCAGAAAACATACATACACCATATTGAATTTTCTCTTTTTTCTTTATTTTTTATAAAGAAAAAAGAGAAAATTCAATTTAAAAAAAAAAAAAAAAAAGCGTCTTTGTGCTACATTAAGATCTAATTTTAAGTTGAAGAGTCTGGGGAAGTAACATTTGTATGATATAATTGTTGTTATCACGAGTAAAAACGCAGACACTGACAGGCCCCTGTGTCAACAGAGTGTTTTAAGTAGTGATTTAGAATTTGTAAAAGATTACACATCATTCAATTTTTCTGTGGAAATTCAGAAAAGGTGTGTGTCAGAGAGTGCTATGGGGGACAATAATGTATTAGCTCACATCCCTTTAAACACTAAGAATCAAACCAAACATTGTGAAAGTATGTGCCTGTGTGAGGTATGTGCGTACTTGGTGGGTGCAGGAATGCGGTCGTTACATTCCCTGCAGCTATGTACTCGACACATCTGGCACTGTTGGATGCTGGGATTCTGACGTCAGCCCTCAAACAGTCTGGTGTAACCGGTGGTAACGGGTCCAGGTTTGTCTACAGGGATGGGAACACGTAAACTTAAGTTAGTTACAGCAATGAGCTCCAGCCCAACAGTTGTCCCTTTGTCTCTTTAACAAGAAACATAACTTTTCCAGGGATGTTGGTAACTCTGTGCTTTTCTTTTGTTTGATATGCCAACGCTTTGAGTTCTAGCTAATCTGGATATTTATCTATTTTCACTGGAACTAAGTAGCTAAAAACTTTAGAAAAATGCAGAAAACTGTGCACATTTTTAGCATTAGTTTATGGTTATTGAATTAAGTAGAATCTATGAATGTTGAATTCATAAAAATTGATCACTGACATCAAGCCAAGAAAGACCAACCATACCTATAATTAAAAACATTCACAATGCGTCAATGTCATCAGATCCACCTCAATGATGAGTGGATATCGAAGATCCTGTGATACACCTGAATGCACCACTAAAGGCTAAGTGGGTCTGGACTTTAATGTTCTTTGAAAGTGAAAATAAGCATTACCAAGGTAAAATATCCACTCCTCTTAGGCTGATACTGATATCGTATCATAGGGAAAATTCTTGAGTTGTAAGTTTTTTTGGTTCACATCTACTTCTACAGTTTTCGATCACTAAGGGTAGGCTTTCTTCACATTGACCCTGGGTTTATTGGAGGTTATTCAGTTCACCTGGATTTTAGACTTTGCAGACCATTTACATGCAAAATCTATATAACACATTACAGGAAAGGGATACCCAAAAAAGAATAATAGGGCCCCTTTAACTTAGGGGCCTTCATACGGACTTAATCATCGACGAGCTGTTAAGTTATTTTAGAAAAGGCATTTGTTCATTTTTAAACAAGCATTTTATCATAATTAAGGAGAAATATTTTCATTTTTACGGCAAATTTTGGTTACATGCAGTTGGGAAATTGTTCAATGGCTTGTTCTTGGTCACTTTAAATCTGGGGGACCAGTTCCACCACATAACAAAAGTAGAGATGTCCCGATCCGATCACGTGATCGGGGATCGGAGCCGATCACGTGATTTTCAAAAGATCGGAATCGGGAGGAAAAAAATCGGGAATCGGGATTTTTTTATTTTTTTTAAATACTTTTTAAAAAATTTTGTATTCAATGTTAAAAAACAAAAATGACCATGTTCAAGTCTTAAAGTCATCCTGAGGCCTTAGTTTTGGTTTGTGTGCCTTGGCAGTCTCAGATGTGTTGCTTCTTTGGGGCTTGTCTTCATAGACCTGCTTATTTCTCTCAAATCTGGCAACAGAGTGGGTGCAGTGTCTAATTGTAGCAGTAAGCTAACGAGTACTGATAAGCTTTATTTTGTTTTGATCCAATGCTGCACAACTGAACTGATCCAATGCTGCTGTGAAAGAAAGAAGCTATATCCATGTTGGATAGAATATCCAATTTAAATAAAAAAATAACCTTAAGGGACAACTTGAATGCTTTTTTTCTTTTTTTTCTCTTAATGCATTGCATAAAGATCGGATCGGGAAAAATCGGTATCGGCAAATTGTCAAAATCAAATGATCGGAATCGGATCGGGAGCAAAAAAAGGTGATCGGGACATCCCTAAACAAAAGCAAACCTTTCAGAATATGTTCTCCCTCTCCATTGAAACACTCACTGGCTTGTCGATGGTGAAGGAGCTCCACAGAGGCATCAGATCTGTGAGGCTGTAGGCGGTGATGAATCCCTCCTGGGGGAGGACACAGTAACTCTTGTTAGGCTGCAGCATCCGGGGGCGGCCCTCCGGAAAGTGCTTCTTCTTCGCAGCAAACTCTGATAAAACAAAGGTGCACTTCCCTTTACATTGTCCTTTAGGAGGGATTTTAACAATTCTGAAAAATAAGTAGGAATATGAATAGGGAAAATAAATGAGACTGATCAATGCAATCAGATGTGATGTTACACGTCATCATTGCAAATAAAAATAGTCTGATTTAAAGGAAATGATCTAAATTCCAAAATTAGAGAAAATAAAAGATCTAAGATACATTTAAGGTACAGAATAACTGTTTTTTAAATGCCAGGGAACCTCCTCACCTTGCTCTGCTGTCAGATTCAGACGGCTGTTGATTGAATTGTCACTCTAAAGTGAACAAGAGAAAACAAATTATGTTAATGAATTTATTGATTTGGGTCTATTTCCATTTTTCCAATCCCATAATTCAGTAAAAAAACAAAACAGCTGATATATATGCTTGCCTGTAGAAAGGAACTCATGGATTATTAAGATAAATAATAATTAAAACCCCCTCTTATATACTTAAAAAAAAAGAAAATATCTTTAATACTTTCCAGCTTCCATCCCTCATAAAAAAGCACTGAGTGGATGTCTTTAGGGGCAAAGTAGCGAGTTGAAAAATAAGAATGTAGACGTTTGGTGCAGATGGGTTCGTGTAATAACTTTTTGCAGTAGAGTAAGCATCTGCCGTTTTACCGACCATAATCGTGGTTTATGTAATCAAGGGTTTTAGTTGCCTTTCCCTAATCATATCTAGCCATAATCTATTTTCTATTAACAAAGTATTTCCCTACCGTAATCTCACCATAGTTAGTGTGTAAGTAAGTTAGTTCGTAAGTTAGCTAACTATGCGCAAATGTGGCAGAATTAAAAAAAAAAAAAATTCAATAGGTCATAATCCTTATTGTTAACTAACATCGCAAATGTAAGATGAATCTATTTAATTAATAAATGTATTCTGCAACATAATGTGTCAAGGAGAAGTCTGTAATACTGAACAGCTGCAGTTTTTAAGCAGGTGAACACAACTCCCATGAAAACACCAAAGAGAGGATGAACATCTTCAGGCAACGGGAGCCCAGCACCGACGGTGACATCAAGGAGCCCGTTGAATGCTCAGAAGAGACCATCCTCAGGTGATGGGAGTCCACCAAACGGTGCCCCATCCAAGAGATCACAACCTCCACTGGATGTACGCAAGGACCTAGTGGCACATTTTCCAGGGAAGACCAAGAGAGGACGCTGTAGACACTGCAGTAAAGGGTACATAAACACCCAATGCACCAAGTGCGACGCCCGTCTGTTCTTTCTGACGATAGGAACTGTTTTTTGGACTACCATATTCATAATTAATACATGACTATTCATAAAAATA